AGCCTGCCCCTTAGCTCAGTTCTTTAAGTGGCTGCTTCACCAAAGCAGTCAGGCTCAGGTTGCTGCAGTTCAGTCCCCACGACTCAGGCCAGCCAAACCTGCCCTGAAGGCATTCGGAGCAAAAAAAGAAAAAAAAAAGAAAAGAAAAGAAAAGAAATGATACAGAATTTCCTTAAACAAGATGATAGGAATTCTATAATGGTTGTTATATTGTTGTTTTCAAATTAGCTGTTCTGATTACCAGATATAAGCATGAAAAATTGGTCAAAAAAATTTAAAAGGAAAACATTTTAAACATTAACTATTCCTTTCAATAGACCAGTAGAAATTGGCAGTACAATTATTCTCCAGCTATCCTGTATATATACATATATTTTCCCTTCTTTCTTTGCTCCTTTCTCTCATCCCAGTTTTTATTTTTTATTCTTTTTAAAAAATAAAAAGAAGAAGAGGGCTGGAGAGATAGCTCAGTGGAATAAGTGCTTGCCTGGCAAGTGCAACGCCCTGAGTTTGATTCCTGGTACCACCAAAAAGAAAAATTAAAAAATTACAAAAAAGAATTGTTACTGTAAAAAAAAAAAAAAGTAGAAGAATGAAAAAGCTTTCCCATGCTAGCATTGGTTAGAAGAATCCTGCAATGTTGATGTTAACACTATATGATGTATAATTTGAGCAAAGAACCTTCTGTTTTCAGCCTCTCAAGTGCTGGGATTATAGGTGCGCGCCACCACGCCCAAAACATTAAAAGTAGAAGGGGTTAAAAAAAAAAGTCATTTCAAATGTTAAGAGGGTTAAGTAAGAGGACACCAGAATCCTAAATATATGCAGCCCCAAACGAGCTGTCATAATATGAAATGACAAGAAGTAGAAGATAATGTCACAATTACTGTCAGAGATTTTAATACTCTTCTCTGATAACAGAATAAGCAAGTAGACAGAAAATCAGTGGGGTCCTAGGTTAGAACAACACACCGAACCTGCCTGACCCGATTCACATTGATATCTACATCACCCAATACTAACAGAATACATTTTCTTCAGTGTACGTGGGATGTTTACCAAAGTAGGTCACAAAACAAGTCTTTTTAAATTCAATTTTATTTTACTTTGAAGAGTAAAAACAGAAGCAAAAACAAATAGAAAAAAAAGACAGAAATAGGGTAACTTACAACAATACGTTCATTACAGATTTTCAAAACAGGAATAGCTAATTAACAATGGGTTTTTATATTATCTATTTTTATTGTCAAATCTGTTGCTAAAATTAGCAGATATGGTTATGCAAGATTGAACAAATAATTGAATATTAACAGTTGCTTTCAAGAAATCTTGGGGCCAAGGAGATAACGCAGTAGAATAAGCACTTCCCTGGCAAGTGCAAGGGCCTGAGTTCAATCCCCAGTTCCACCAAAAAAGAAAAGAAAAGAAATCTTAACTTTTTCTTTGTTTTTTTTTAAACAGAGTGTAATAATTGATAAAACATTAATAAATTTAAGCAGGTTAAAATAATATATAAAGTGTACTTTCTGACATAATGTTAAAGATTAAAAATTAAATTAAAGAATAAAGGAAATTATAAAAATAAAATCCGGGGAACTACCCGCGCAGGCCCCCCTCATGTCGATCTCTCGGACAGGAGCTTTCTTTCCCTCAATAAATATATTCTGCTCATAACTTCTGTTTGATCCTAAAATTCATTATTCGGTTTTAGAGACATTTTGGAGACTTCCACCAAGATCAGTGGACGGAGGTATGAGTTTGCTTTTCTTTCATAAATTCTGGATTGGGACTTGCTTAGGTGACAAATTTTTATGCTGCCCACCCCACATCCACCTAAGTGAGTTCCCATTCTCTCCACCTTAGCCCCACATGGTTTTACACTATAAAAGTCCCTGCAAGAGACAGCTTCCCGGGGAGACTACGCACTTGGGCCCCCCTCCTATCCCTCTCTGAGACAGGAGCTTTCTTTCCCTCAATAAATATATTCTGCTCATAAAAAATAAAGTAAAATAAAATAAAATCATTAAATAAATGAAATAAATAGAAAACTAATCGAGAAAATAAAGCCTAAAGTTGGTTAAGCATTATTGCTGATAATCTTATAATAGCTGATAATCCTGAGACCACATTGATTAGGAAGAAAAAGATAAAATTCAAGAAGTAGAGAAATAACAGCACTATACATTTTATAAATATCAACATGAAAATATTGATAACATATGCCAATAAACTTCTACCTTAGATAAGTTGAAATATTTCCCAAAAGACAAAATTATTAAAAAGAAATAGTAAATTATGGAGCAATATGTCTCACAAACATAAGAACACAAACTTTGACCAAAATCTAGTAACTACCTGTGCTGGCCCCGCCCCTGGGGCACAATAAGACAGCGACTGAGACTGGGCGTGGTAGCACACTCCTGTCATCGCAGTGCTTGGGAGGCTGAAAACAGGAGGATCACTACAAGTCCAAGCTGTGTAGTGAGACCCTGAAGACCCTATACTAAATACATAAAAAAAATAAAAACTAATAAATAAAAATTTAGCAACTAAATCCAAAAAAACATAAAATACCTTGTCCAAATGGGGTTGATTCCAGGCATTTGAAGCTCATTTAACATTCTAAAATCAATCCAGGTAATTCATAATATTAATCAACTTAAAAATAAGGATCATGAAACCACTTCAATATAGTCAAAGAAACACAAAAATTATTCCTAGTATAAACTCCCAGCAAACTAAAAATAAATATTTTTAAAGACCTAATAAAGGATATTTATGAAAAAACTTGCAGTTAACTTTATAACTCATAGCAAAATGTTTTTCCTGTAAAATACTAAATAATAAATGTGTTAGGTTTTGAGTGCCATATTCCACACCTACTATATATTAATCTTTTTTGTTGTTTTCAAAAATTTTTTTGTTTCATTTGGTGTGGTTTGGTTTTTTGTGCAGGGTCTCACTATGCAGCTCAGACTCATAGTGATCCTTCTGTTTTTGGCCTGCCTACTGCTGAGATTACAGGCATGCACCACCATGCCCGGACTCTATTGCCGGCTCAGTGCACCCCGGGGGTGGGGCTGGTGCAGAATGCAGTGCCAGGAATGGAGCCCTGGCCCCTGTGTTTACATAAACAAGTGCTTAGTCCGCTGAGCTATCTCACCACAAAATGTTTTTCTTTTTTAATCCCTGCTTTACAGGCTGCACAAAAACGGATTATGCAGTCTATGTGTCATGTTATATGACCACTGGCTTGTAAGTTAATATAGAAAACTCAATAGAATCTACCAAAATTCTTCTAGAACTAAACAATTTTGCAATTTCTCAGGATAGAAAATCAATGTAGAAAAGGCCATTGCTTGTCCAGAAAATAGAAAGAATAATTTGAAATTGAATAAAATAACTATACCACTTACAATAGAATCAGAAATTATAAATTATCTAGGGACAATCTGGCAAAATAGGTGATGGACTTCTACACTGAAAATAACATTAGAGAAATCAGCAAAGATAAAAATAACTGGAGAAATATACACCATTCATGAATTAGAAGACTCAGCATCGTTAGTGTGTTGGTTTCTTACTAAATTTATCTGTGAATTTCAATACAATTTCAATAAAAACCTCCCCAGATTTTTATTGTAGAAATTAACAAGCAGATCACCAAATTCATATGGAAAATCTAAAGACTTAGAATTGCAAAACTTTTAAAAAGAATAAACTTGTAGGGCTAACATCACTGTTTTCAATGATTAAACTACAGAGGAATCACAATATTATGGAGTTGGCATAAATTTACACAAGATCACTGCACAGAATAGTCTAGAAATGAATCTACTCATCGTTAACCACCTATGTTCAACTGATATTTTATAAATGCACAAAAGCAATGCAGAAGAAAAGCAATAGATTACCAACAAATGACGCCAAGATAGTTATCTATACAGGAAAAGAAGTAACTCGGAGCTATACAAGATACAAAAAGTAATTGAAAATAGATTCACCCCTAAATGGAAAATCTAAAGCTATAAAGCTTTTAAATGAAAATTTCTGTGACCTTTAGAGGACTGAGCATGTTTCTAACTATTACATCAAAAGCATGACTCAGAAATGATTAAATTAATAACTTGGAAGTCATTAAAATTAAAAATACACACCTAGGATAGACTGAGTAATTATACTGCTGATTTCTGCTGGAAAAGCAACTAAAAGCATAATGTATACCACTGTACAACTATTAGGTGGCTAGAGACTGACCCTTTCCTAAAGAGGAAGTGAAGGCCTAGGAACTCTCACTTGCAGGAGGGAGGTGTTCATTTTAAGGACTTATTTATGAAGGATCCAAATGTTCGTACCCACTTTTTAGAAGTAACCAAAAACTTGACCAACCCAAATGTCTACCAATAGTCCAATGGATGAATTGTGTCATATTAGCCAATGAAATACCACTCGTGTGACAATGATTGTCTTTGTGTATTCGAGGTGAGTGACACTTTTCTAAGTCTTTCACACACACACAAAAATGAAAAACAGAAGAGGTTTGTCAAAAGGCACTGGTTTACATAATTTAAAGGTAGGCATAATAGCTATCAAATCTAGATAGATGGCCATAGCATTATTGAAACTAGATAAGATGACTGCAGTATTGTACTTTCAAATTAAACTTCAAGACATTATTTCATTTGCAATTTAAATTTTACTTACTCCATTTATAATAGAAATAATTATAGCATCTATGATAAAACTTATGTGGCTGTCATATTCTGCTACACTGGATTCACACCTAATTTGTGTTTTATGTGTTTAGGAACATCCTGTAAAGAACAGTTCCAATAGTTTGTTTTGACACACAAAAATAAATGAATGTAAAGTTTGGACAAAAGTTGTTGCTATTTTTCCTTTTCAACATTCATGAGTGAGTGACAAAACAATTTGCATAACCCACGTACAAATTAGAAAATTAATAGTCACTTGGTTATAAGTGTTTCTTATTTTCACAGAGGAAATATTAAAAATGAGCTGCCTTACGCAGAGGGGTCATCCTGCTCTATGTGCTTAAAAGAAGAGAGATGCGTAAACAAGCTCTGCCGTAAGCAAAATAGAAAAAAATCATAACATTCTATTTGGACAGTAACATTATCATAAATTCATCATATTTTTAAATATGACCTTCCAATTTATAATTTATGAATAGGATTTGGTTGCTTCTGTCTGACAGTATGAATCATTTATAACTTATCATATTTAAATTCAGGTGATCCTTCCCATCTTCAATATTTTCTCTTTGAAGCTAAAGGACAAAAAGAAATGAGCTACAACTAGCTGCATTCAAAATAACTATTGACTGTAATGTTTATTTTGTATCTCCTTCCGTTCATTTCCTTTTGGTAGTTATTGTTATAGTCGTGACTAAGCTAGCTGTTCATCCCCCCCACCCCTTCACTCCTTGGTCTTCACCTCTCAAGGCTCCACTTGGGTCTCTCTAGTTCTACAACTCTAGCAAAAGCACTGCAGCTGCTTCTGTTTCCAAACACAGGGCTCTACCTGCACAAAACCCAGGCTTTCAGCCTTCCACCCAGAACCAGAATCAAGAGTGTCCTGGGGGAAAAGAAGCAACCTCCCTTATACCTGTCCCTGAGCCCGGTCAGCCTAGGCCACAGGCCTGAGGGGAAGTGTTTCCCTGAGCCCTGTCTGCCTAGGCCACAAGCCTGAGGGGAAGTGTTTCCCTGAGCCCTGTCTGCCTAGGCCACAGGCCTGATGGGAAGTGTTTCCCAGCTTGCTCTTTTTTCCATAATTTTGAGGGATTCTTATCCCTTTGCAAATTAAAGTTAGGAAAAGCTATCAATTCTACTAAATTGATTTTGGCTAGCATTACATTGGATATATATAGGTAAATTGAGAAGATTTATAGATAAATTTGGTAAGAATTGACAACTTTACATTTACTATTTCCTCCAATTAAGTGTTTATTTAGGATTGCTAAAATGTCTTTCAGTTACGTTTTAAATTTTTCTCAGCAAAGATACTGTACATCAAATGAGAATCCCTAGTGACATGGGATTGTTGTGACTATACTTAAAATTACATTTCTTAATAAATTTGGCTGATTTAAAAAATACCAATGTTAAACTGAGCATGGTGGCATACATCTGTAATCCCAGCCCTCAGGAAGCTGAGGAAGGAGGATCATTGTGAGTTTGAGATTAGCCTGGGCTACAAAGTGAGATTAAGGCCAGCCTGAACTGCATAGCAAGACCCTGTCTCCATAAGACAAAAAGCAAAACTAAACAAATATATGTGTGTGTGTGTGTGTGTGTGTGTGTGTGTGTGTGTGTGTTTTGGCGCAGGAGTCTACTACCCAGGAATCTTACTGAACTTTCTACATTTCCAATAGTTTATTGATTCACTTGAATTTTCTGCAATAATCAGATTACCTGTAGGATAAATACAAATCTTATTCACTCTGCTAACGTTTAGTGTTTTTTTTTTCTTTTTGCTAATCTTTATATCCACTGTTTATTTTACTAACATGCAGCTGGTTCTCCAGGGCAAAGCTGAACATAAACTGTAATAGTGAATATCTTCTCTTATTACTGACTTTGAAGACAATATTTTGACATTATACATATTAATTTAGGATTGTTTTTAATCTGTCCCCAGTGCCAGGCTCTACAAGTAGTCTTTTCTTCAAATTTTGCTAACAGTTTTTAAATGGAATGAATCTTTAAGTAGAACAGTTTCGTTGCATTTATTAAAATGAGCCTTTTTTTCTTTAAGTGTGCTAATTTAAACTGTATCAAAGGAGTGTTAAAGCAGTGCAGTCACAGTAGACAATTTCACAAGGTACCAGGAATTAAATGATGAACCAATAATCCAGTATGTACTGGAAATTCTTTGTGAAACACCTAAAATATTTTATCATAACTATATTAAGGGGAAAAAAGGAAATTATGAGATTCACTTAGATTGATTCATTTGTAGATGACAATTATCAGCTCCAGGTTGCTTTTTTGGAGTAAAACTTATTGCCTAATTTAGCTCGTGCACTATACGTGAAAATAAAGATGCAGGTAGGAGCACGGAAGGGCTTAAATATTCTGCACATGCACAGCAATGACTGAAAGAAGATTCAACTCACTGTATAGTTTGAAAATCTGAATCTTGAAATTGCTAATGAGCTTCCATTAGATTTTACTCAGCGACAATTCAGGTGGCGATTATAAGGATTATAAGTATGTGCCTGCTTAGGCAGAGCTCAATGGCTGAGGTTCCATTCCCTAAATACCGTGCCCGCCCCACCCCCGGGGCGCAGCTGAGACAGCGACTGAGACTGGGCATAGAGGTGCGAGCCTGTAATCCCAGCACACAGGAGGCTGAAAACTGGAGAATCATTACAAGTCTGATCTACATAGTGAGACCCTGTAGACCTTGTTCTAAATATATTTTTTTAAAGCATGATAAGTCATACAAATTAATTAAATTCAAAACACGGTAAGGACTCAATAAATTTTAGCTAGTATTCTAAAATTCCCGAGTATTATCAATTAATTCAATTTATATTTGTCATAGCAATTATCAGTCTGTAATGATTATGCTTTTAGATTTTTCTTCACTTTACTATAAAAGAATTTGATTTATTCATGATTTATTGACAGCCATTACTTCTGAAGCTTAAAATTGATAAGTTCCAGGCCAGCCAAATGGCTCAGCAGATGAAAGCGCCTGCAAGAGGCACGGGAGCCAGGGGTTTGATCCCCGGGCCTGCCGTGCCAGCCCCGCCCCCAGGATGTGCTGAGATGGCAATTGAGACTGGGCGTGGTGGCGCACGCCTATAATCCCAGCTCTTAGGAAGCTGGAAACAGGCGGATCACTACGAATCCAATCTAGTAGTGAGACCCTGAACACCCTGTACACCCTTCCCTAAAATAAAAAAAAATAAAAATAAGTTCCAGCCCGAGTACAAACTGCTAAATTATCACAGCCCTGATTCAACAGGGCTAAATCCCCTAAACAACAGCTTGTCTTTCCGATGACCACCTCCTCCTCCGTCCCCACTCCACCCTGGGTACCACTTCCTTTTACCTTTCCTGTGCACACAAGGGAGCCCCAATCAGCTCCTTACGTATCGCTGAAACTGCCCCTCAAATGATGCCTCCAGCAAAAGTCCTTCAAATCTCAGCCTTCCATCGTCTCAGGTTAGAGGACTCCCGGTCTCCTTCGGATCCTCTGCATGTCCTCAGAGTCAAGAAAGGCTCCCCACTTTCTTTTACTTCTGCCTCTCTGCCACGCTAGAAAAACCTAAGGAGACTCCAACGTATAGTAGCTAATGAAAGAAGGGGCCTGGGACAGAGCTCAGCAGTACACCGCCTGCTGGCAAGCACAAAGTCCTGAGTGCCACTCTGGGTACCACAAGAAAAAAACAAAAAGCCTAAAATGTAAACATGAATGGAAAAAGAGCAAATTAAAAGAATGAGTTCCTAAAATATACCAAATTTTATTATAACAGTAAAGTCAGAACACAGTTTTGATATAGAAAAGATGCGAAGGACTTTTACAAAGATAAAAATGTAAAAGGGACAAGGACTACTACAAAGATAAAAATGATATTTAAAACTCAACATGAAGGAAATACATTTTGTCATGGGTTTGAATCAGATATGGTGAAGCACCAAAAACTAAAAATACAGTTAACCCTACTATGTAATTTTGTCTGTTTTAGATATTTGTGCCTTTCATATAAGAAGTATTCTAGAAATATTTGTCAACATGACACTGTAGATGGAGTGTCATTTATTATGTTATAATGATTTTGAAGTAATACAGAGTTTGTGTAGAAGAAACTTACCTTTATTTAAGCTAAAAAGTCAAACTAATTTTTCTAAATTGATTCCTTTGTTCTAATGCCAGAAAAACAAGTGAATGCTTTTCATTTTGTATGTTTTCTATATTTTAGGATCACCAAAACCTATTGCACTTGACAGCACGTATCAAAATATTTTAGTATTAATTCGATGATTTCTTTCACCTGACATTAAATTGAACTTTCAATTCTTCCATTTTATTGACAGAACATAAAGACTTCAAGCCCATGGGAAGAGCGCCTCAGCGGATAGTATCTAACCTACTCAGCATAGGTTTTCTTCTTCTGAGAATAGTTTTCTAATTGTCATTTACATATGCAAAAATCTTTATAATAAAGGAATAAATACAATTCATCAAGAGTCTAATTCTCTACTAAGTCTTCTGTACTCTGCTCTGTTATCTAATTACACTGCCATGGTATGATCATTGCAGTTCTGGGAAAATACTAGAAAGAGAATAGCTGAGTCACAGGGGACCCCCAGGGCTAGTTTTTTAAGAAATCTCCACACAGGTTACCACAGTGATTTCTACAGTCTGCACTCCCACCAACAGTGCAGAAGGGTTCCTTCTTCCCCACAGTTGAGCCAGCATTATTATTGGTTGATTTCTTGATGATAGCCATTATTTCTGGAGTGAGATGAAAACTCAGTGTTATTTTAATTTTCATTTCTCGAATGACAAGTGATGCTGAACATTTTTTTATATATTTATTTGCCATTTGTATTTCTTGACCTGAGAAGTGTGTATTCATCTCAGATGCCCTTTTTTGGCTTACCTCTTTGAATTTCGAGGGTCTGATTTTTAAAAATTCTTTACATGCTCTACATAGAAATCCTTTGTCTGACAGACAGTTGGATAAATTTTTTTCTTAATTTATGGATTTTCTTTTCACTCTGTTGATGATTTCTTTTGATGTACAAAAACTTTTCAGTAAGATCCCAGTTGTTGATTCTTTGAAGTATTTCCCATGCAATTTGTTTTGGTTCATGAACTCACTACCCTATATCTTCAAGATTTCAACCTACTTCGTCTTTCAGTAGATTAGGTGTTTCTGTTAATATTAGATCTTTGAGCCATTTTTACTTTAGTGCATGAGGAAAGACATTGGCTAGTTTTAGTCTTCAGCATAGAGAGAGCCAATTTTTCTAGCACCATTTACTGGCCCGGAAGACCACTTACCAATCTAAGTGCCTGTCTGGCAAGCACAAGGACCTGGGTTTGATTCCTGGTACCACATGCCATGCTGGCCACTGAAACCAAGTGTGGTGACACAAGCCTGTAATCCCAGCCCTGCAGAGGCTGAGACAGGAGGTTCACTGAGTGTGAGCTGCATAGTGAGACCCTGTACCAAATAATTAATTAATTAATTAATTTTTTAATGTGTAAAGAAACTATCTTTCTTCCAGTGAACATGTTTGGCCCATTTGTCAAAGAGAAAGTGTCCAAATGTGTTTGTAGGTTCTTCTACATCTTCTAATCTGTTTCATTGGTCCTCAGGTCTGGTTTGGTTTTGTTTTTCTGGGTTTTTTTGTTTTTGTTTTTTTGGGATTTATTTTGCCAGTACCAAGCTGATGTTATCACAGTAGCTTTGTAGCATAATTTCAAGACAAGGATTTTGATGTCTTTTGCCTTGCCTTAATTGCCCAGGGTTGCTTTTGCTATTCTAGGCATCTGGTTCCAGATGGATTTTAGGAATGTTTTCTCTAGATCAGTGGTATCAAAATACTAATAGTATTTTGATTGGGGTTGCATTGTATCTGTAAAACAGTTTTGGGAGTATGGCCATTTTCGCAGTGTTTTTTGGTTTTTTTGTTTGTTTGTTTGTTTGTTTGTGTTGGTTTTTTTGTTTTTCTATCTATGAGCAAGGGATAACTTTCCATTTTCTGAAATCTTTGATCTCTTTTTTCAGAGTACTATAATTTTCACTATATGTGTATTTTACTTCC